AAATTCCAACCAAACCCTCTAGGTAGCACACTGGCAAAGTAGTTCTTGCATTTTACAATGACCAAAGTATTTCTGGACTTATAGCTCTGTGGACCACAAACTGCATCAACAGGTTCTACCACATATCACTGGTTCATGATAATGGTACAACACTGCACTTGTAACTGATTATACAAAGTGTTATATGTATCAGTACTAAAGTCATCAGTTTGTGACAGTTGTGCTTCATCTTCCTGTTGGACAAGTAACACCCAAACTATTTATAGGTCCGCCACTTGCTTTTCCCAAAGGTTCTGAATCCTCATTTGTGGTGCCCATCTACAACTGGAGATGGCAATGCACATTTGGCTCATCATCGCTACTTTTACAATGGCTTTGACTGCTACAGTGTGTCCAGGATTTGAACACTTTAATGAACAGAAATGCTGTCACTGGATGACAAGATAATCCATCAATATTTCCATACTGCTGACTCTGGTGGTGTTTTACAATGAAGTTATATTCTTGCAGTGTCATTATCGAACATGCAGTCATATCTTCCATATTTTTATCTGTTTGAGTAATACATGATCCACTCATATGATAAACTCCTTAACACAACTAGTGGCAGTAATGTTTACAAATACCATAACAGTAGGCAGTTTCTTCTTTGTTGTATAGTATATATCAGCATTCAGAAGCAATTAGTATACAGCTCATATGCATGATTATATACTCCATTAACATCTTGAACCTGTGAAAGTGTTCCTCAAAGCTGCAAGCATGCACGTGCACACTGAAATCTGGCAGATACCACACACCAAAACAACAGGCTGTTTAAAAGTTAGTGATAGTTTGTTGTGGAAGACATTTAGTTGGTGATAATTTCGTGTGGAAAACGTAGGCCTATAACTTAAATAATGCCAAGTGCAAGGCAGGAGTATAGGCACCAACAGTCACTCAAAAAACTGGTGTTCAGCTTTAAAGGAGAACTGATTTTTGGAAGTTATTTAAACCAAAATTGTCTACAAGCAGAAAAGTCGTGCTCAAAGGAGGTTGTAGTCTGCTCATTACAAAGAAAAATTAGATGGAAAATTGGTGACAAATGCTCATAATTACCAATCAAAACTAGCACCTGAATAGTGTGGTCTGCATTAGAGACAAAAAAAGAATGAAAAAAACTGTGTTTTTATTGTATTTTACTTGCCACAGTTAACCTATATTTATATACAGGTTTTGAAGAATATGTAGCATTTATGCTGTTAATTTATTCTTCAAAATTATTCAGCAAAAAAACAAAACAGATATTTAACATACTAAAGATAAATGGGACCTCAATCTATCATTTGATTCATCACCAGTATTCTTTTTGTATTACCAATATTATTATAATGTTTCATTATATCTAAAAATTTTTATGAAGAAGAAGCCTTACAACACTAAAAACCTGATTTCAGTATCCGTGGTGGGCACAGCACTGATAGCCCAATGTGTAACTTTGCGCTTAAAAACAAATATTTTTTTACAGGTATCCCTGCCATTAATATTTGATTTGTTTCAGACATTTCAGTGATATTTTTTACACTTCCCTAGTATTTAAAATAATTTCGTAACTGAGTAAAAAATCAAACATTGTACAAAGAATATGAGAAGTCCAGAGCATTTTAAAGACTGAAACAATTTTTTTTATTTTACAGTAAATTTTTACTGTAAGAAATGTTGCAGTTCAGAGTGGTAAATAATAAAGGAATTAAAAAATGTTTATTCTGATTTAAGTGATGAGTTGGCATATGGTTTATGGAAAACCACTGTTTATTATAACTTCTAGGTTTTCAAACATTTACAAAAGACTTAGGTTTGTTTTGAATTTAGCATAAAGCTACACGAGGGTTATCTGTGCTAGCCGTCCCTAATTTAGTAGTGTAAGACTAGAGGGAAGGCAGCTAATCATCACCACCCACCGCCAACTCTTGGGCTATTCTTTTACCAATGAATAGTGGGATTGACCATCACATTATAATGGACCCACGGCTGAAAGGGCGAGCATGTTTGGTGTGATGGGGATTCGAACCCACGGCCCTCAGATTGAGGCTTGAGTGCCCTAACCACCTCGCCATGCCAGGCCAAAAGTCTTAGGTGACAGCTATCAAGTGTAACTAAAACTTTTATATATTAATTTGTTGTGGATCTGAAAAAAAAATTCTAGAAAATATCATTTCCATTATTTAAGTCTGTGAATGTGAAGACTTAAAAATTGTCAAGTAATAAAACTGAAAAATCACCGTTAGTTTCACACTCCTATAAATAAGAATATTTTTTTTTAAAAGATATATTCAGGTACATTTTTAAATGTTTGTGCCAGTGTTCTGCATGTAATTAGTGGCATCTTTGTAAACAAAATGCAGAATGATCACAAATTTGTGTTAATCCTCTAGCTTAGTCAAACTTTGCATATCACAACAATTTTCCTGTAAAAAGGGGGGGGGACAGACAATTGTACAACTTGGGAGGTTTATCTCCCTTGAATATGTACAATAGGAATTGTCAGTGACTTGCACAAATTAGGATAGTGAAATGATATCAGGAACTTTCATTTTATGTAATGTAGCATTATCCTTATGCTGGTGTAAAAATGTCAATTAATTAGTGAAAGACATTTAACTCTATAAATAAAAATTTTATTTGTTCACTTGTTTTGGCCTCCATCCTTTGTTGTCTGTTCAATTTACTTTCTGCTTAATATTTCTTGAATATGTTGGTTTTAAAGATACCTCTAGTTTTCCTGTTAAAAGTCTGGGTACCCAAAATATCCATCAGTGGTAACACTGGTATCTTCCACATTGTGTGACAGCATTGTAAAAACACTATCAGTTAATTGATACACAGAAACACCTAATGATGATTCTTTATATTAAACAATAAAAAAATTAAAAATCAATGCAGAAAACCTTATTCTTGTGTTTCAATACACACGTATATACATCACCAACATTACAAACATACTTCTCTATGAGCCTTAGTATTGATGTTTCAATGAAAATAAAATTTGTTCCATCAAAACAAATTGTATCATCATATTTTTGTATTTTCAATAATGTTTTTAATTTTTATGACAAACATAAAATATTCCTATCATGTTTGTTTCTCCTTCCCATAAATGGTTTTAAAAAGATGATTTAGAAATTAACAGTAATTAAAAGTTCTTTGAAAATTTTTAATAATCATTTCAAATATACATCAATTATGAACTTCTGCTAGAACTATCAGAATTCAGAAAATAAATGTGCCTTAATTAAAATTTGTGTCTGAAATATAGGAATCACTCATACACAAACAGCACATTTTCTTCACCTTAATATAAGGAGTCTACAATCATAATGACAACTTATAGCTTAATTTTTATTCAAATATTAACATGCCACATAGTTCATGTATCATAAGATGTACTGAATTGTGTTTGTATAATTATAAAGTTTCAAAAAAAAAAAAATGTTGTTTCAAGCATAATCATATATTTAACAACACAAAAACATGCCAACTAGTTTTGGTAACATCTGCCATTATCGTAAGATGAAATGTACTTTGTGGGATTATCTTTTTGAAGTGTCATTACATTTACAGTGTCCAAAAATTGTGTGACGTATGTTACAAACTTAACCGCAACAAGACAACAGTTACAAACTCTTATTTGTGGTGGATAAAAGATGCATGCGTTTTTTTTTGCTACACATGATTTGCAATCAGTACACCTCTACATGAACTCTCTTTATGGCCCTCAGGATATCAAGTTGATATTTGATTCCCATCCATGTGTTTACCAGCATATCAGGCATCACAGTACATATTACATCAGCAATCTGTTCATTTAGAATCCTCAGATCCAGTTATTTCTGTCGTGTAGATGATGTCTATCATATAATCCCAGATGGGAGTGATGTCTGGTGATTGGCCCATTGCAGTTTCTTTCTTGTGTAACACACTCTCAGACTCTTGAAACTACCAGTACCACTTCTAGGCAGAATTCTTAACTGATGGATCTTTTCCATACAATCTTTATACTACAATAGGTAATTTCATCTCTGCTAATCTCATGATGCACATAACCGTTTATGTCACCATGTTTATTAAGGACATATTTAGTGACTGCATGCATTATACTGATTAAAAAATATTCTATAAATCTGGCTTTCATCTACTACAAACTGTAAGTTTGTAACTGTTACTATCTTATCATATTTTAAGTCCGTAATACATCACTAAATATTTGGACTCCCTGTATAATACCATGTTTCTGATGTTATTCTGAATTTTAATTGTAGAGAGCTTATTATCTAGAGTTTTTGGCCAAAAACAAAGACTGATTCATGCCAGTTGTAAAATGTAGTAATTTTTGGTAACTGTTGTACAAAATTTTTTTTTATAATGTTCAACTTTACAGATATTTCAAGTTTCTCAAGATATTTACTTTTATATATATATATATATATGTGTGTGTGTGTGTGTGTGTGTGTGTGTGTGTGTGTGTGTGTGTGTGTATCAGAAGGTATATTAATAGGTAGTGTTTCAACAGTTGCAAGAATATATATATATATATATATATATATCTATAATAGAAAAATCCTTAAAACCTAGTGGTCATTTTTGTAAAGATATATATTTACACAAAAAGTAGTGATATCAAAAAATGGATTATTCAGATTATCAATAAAAATATTAGGTTATAAAAACCATTTCTACAGCATGAAGCATTCTTTCAATAACATGTATCATATAATATTAAGTATTGCTCAATAGCCGACAGATGGTAGTTGTAACAGCCCTACTAATTGATGACATTTTTTTACTACAGCACCCCTATGTTTTTGGGTTTCCATAAATGTTTTTATACATTTGTATCAAGTGGCAAAGTTATAGCTTGTACCAATCTTTTACCACCTGTAAATTTATAACTATACCAAACACATTGGGTTCCAGCCTCATATATTTGTGATGGAATTGAGTATTAAAGCAAAATTAACAAGTTCATAGTACAAACATGATTTATTCTTTAAAAAAAAAACATCAGCTTTAAATAGATTAAAAGAGCTAAAAACGAATAAGCAATCTTTTAGAACAAAGACAAACAGTACAGAGTAAAGGAATCTTTAAGAAACATTTAATAACTGAAACATTAATTTTGAGATGCTAAATTATTTAGCAGCTTACTTCATGCTACACTGAACTGTAAAATAAGTATACCTCACAATAGAATTGACAAAAGTTTGAGATTATTAATTAGCAGAGACAAAAACCACAAAGCTGTAAACTACACCTAACAATAGATTTTATTTCATTTGTATTTTTTAAATATCAAAACAAGAACCAAAGTTTTACAAAAAACTAAAAAAATTTAGCAGTACATTTCAAAGAAATAAAAAAGTTCAAATAAACGATAGCAACGTAACAAAGTGCAATTCAATAGATGCTTACCCATTATATTGCAACAATGAAGTTTTTTCTAACATTTGAAAGAGGAGTTGGTTTTGTTACAAAAAATAGTATTTTTTTTGCTGGAGTTGAAAGTGGTAAAATAATGAAGTTGTACAACATATATCTTACAACATGACATTTGAGTAAATTAACTAAATATCACTTAAGTGATAAGCTTCTAGTTTAGGCCTAATTAATTCTCTGAAGGTTAAGAATGTCTGTTATAAAAACTGTAAGAAAAAACAAAAACAACCTTACCTATGACTTACAATGTGGTTACTTTGTTAGATCATATCTTGTATGTGTAGGCACATTCAAAAGTGTGGACACAGAATGCCTGTACTTTTTTTTTTCATACTTGATGTTTAATCTGGTTACAAGTCTTTATAAAAAAACACCTAAGCTGCTATATTACTCTTGTTAAGATAAAAATTTGGAAAAAATCATAGAATATGCATGCAAGGTGTTTCTTTATAATTAATCCCATTATTACACACCAAGAAAATAAATATCCTAATTTTGGTTTTGCATGGATCCGGATATATATTTCATAAGGTTAATAAAAAATGAAATTTTCCTCACTTTAGAAACCAAGTCTGGATTTTCTGTGATAATTTCCTGATTTTCCATAAGTTTTGCTTTGAAATTTTTTTCCACCAGTTATTTAGAAAGTGATACCCTCAGAAGAAAAAAAAAGAGAATTTGGAACCAAAAGAAAACGTTTTTTTTTTTTTATGGTTATGTGCAATTTGAGATACAGCACCAATTAAAAATGACTGTCCACAGATTATATATTTTGTTAAAAAATACAAATGTTAACTAACATACATAAAAAATTTTCAAAAACATAACAAAACTAATAAGAATTGCTAATTCAAATGGTATGTTATTCACAATTCTACATAAAAATGTTTAATCTAAATCTAGGCTTATTTCAAGTGAATAATTTTACTAAATTAATGTCATTATTATTCACTTTCAACAGGTGTGCATTAATAAAACAGAAAGATAATTGTTCTCTTTCAAGATAACTTTCTAAAAATTTTGTAACTCAGATTTATTTCCTGCTGTTAGAAAAAGATTTCTGGATGTAACATTAAAGTATTTTTATAATCTTTTAACTAGTAACACCTATACATATTTCTGTTGGAGATGGAAAAAATAGAAAAGGAAAAGGTTTATTGATGTAAAAAATGTAACTTATTCCACTCTTTGCAAAATAAACAAAACAATACTAATACTTAAAATCTTGGATAAAAAAAGTCTAATTTATTTACACATAGATTTAATATAATATTTTAACCATTCAACTTTGATTACTCTACATATAACAATATTTTGTCTGAAAATGAAAATATATGCACGCTTTGTTTACTTTGCTTCAAGTAGACTGATGTCCCTTCAGTATAAACACATTTAAAATCTTGACAAATACACACACACACATGTAGTTTATGATTTAAACTGAGTGTATAAGGAAGACTGGACTTATTAACCTTTAAAGATTCTTCCTTATGAAAGAGGTCAAGAGAAGACATGCCTACATCACAAAAGGTTGCATCCTTCTTTGATAGTTTTCAGAAAATATTTGTCAGAAAATTATCAGTTTCTTCTTACTGTTTACTTCATTTTAGGATTTATAGTTTGAGGTCAGCCAAGTAAGCCCTTCATATAAACCATCACCAGTTGTTGCACAAGAAGGCTGAACATACCAATTTCGATCACGAATACGAGTGAACCCAAGTTTTTCTTGCACCTCATGGGGTTTCATGGCTGGTAAAACAGAGGTGAAATATGCTATATAAACACATTACAAACAAATTCTTCATTTAAAGTACCTGTTTTAAATTTATAGCAAGAGAAGTCTTGAGTTATCATATCAAGATTTGGATATACATAATTTCATATAATTGGTTGTATAATTTTTTTAATTGAGAAATGACTCAACCGCATTCCTAAATATGTTCTGTATTAGAATTAGACAGATAAATCTAGTTTGCAAACAAAAAGCAAATCACTCTTTAACCAAAATATGAAGACTAATCTTAGATGATGAATATAATATCAGTAAGTTAAACCACAATGTCTGTCATATGCTAAAATATACCAGATCATCAATTTTATTTGATAAATTTGACAAATTACAAAAGGCCAAAGGATATGGTGAAAAAAGAAACACAAGTTAGACATTTTCCCATTGTATGGTTAATATGATTGCATCATTTCATTCTTCAAAGTATACATTCTTATGTATTAATCCATTAATTTATCAGACTTTTAAGTTTGTGCTCATTACAGCATCTTTGCAAGCATAATAAGAGTATAATTATATTTAGATAAGAAATACAGTGCTATTACACAGGTTGACTAGTGATTTTAAAGACAACTTTGTCATTAATAAAGTGTAGCTTTACATTTTGCATTACCACTACAGAAAATGGGCTGCTAAAACTGGTACTGACTGTGTTAAAGAAAGTTTATTTATTACATAAAGAAGCACACCTTCACTAAACAAAAAAAAAGGAACTAAGACTGGGTTCAGTAATGATAATTAGGGCTACAAAGAGAACAAATAAATGTATGCAAGTCACATTTTATTTTAGTTTGGAAACACTACTTATGAGAGTTAAATAAATTAATGTAAGCCAGTAAACAAAAAGAACAAATGGTAAATAAAATAGTTTGTTGTACGAAGTATTGGTAATACTAAAAAATTATAACAAAACAACATTACTTTCAAAAAATATCTTAACACGTCCCTCATGAGCCAAGGGGTGTCTTCACACTACAATTTGTGAAATATTAAAAGTAAGTTCAACATGGAAACTCCCAAAGAGGGCGATTTTGGACGTATTTTTTTGAGACAAGTTTTCATTTGCTAATTGATAAATTTTTAAGTGAAATATTGCATCCTCAAGTCTCCATAATAGCTAGTACTAAGGTCTATCAATAAAGCCACATTCTCAGCATCATTAATTAAGCAATTGCCAACCTTTTATGCTTCTGCCATCACCTTTTTATGCTTAGATTTCAATCGAGATATGAATGATTTCACCTGCAATTCAGTAGGGAAGATCGAAGCATCATGATAGTCAGCAGTAGGATGAGCAGACAGGAACACTTTGAAAGTAGCTACAGGCATAATATTGTACTCAGCTTGCTGGACAATATCTACCAAAGTGGTTCTAAATGGTTCCTGAATACCTCTGCATGTGATTTGGAGACTTTCATGCTTGGCTGTTAAACTCTTGGTGTGCTGACAAATTTCAGTAACCTAACTACTCCAAACCACTTTTTGCAGCCCCAACACTAAAAGAGTGCAGGAAATGCCTTCTTTCAGCCAATGAAAATGTCCAAAAAATTTCAGTTCAAAGTAAGAAAAACTGAACTGGGTAGTTTTTTGTTTTGTTTTTCAACAAAAATGTCCTCCACTGGCTAGTGAGGAATCTGTTAAAATTCATAACTTAAGTCATCTATGGAGATAAAATAGATCATGTGCTTCTAGTGACTGAAGAACAATTGTTAGATATTAATGGTTGGTATCACCTTTAAAGAACCTTAAAAAAGCAGGAAAAGGTCACTGAACATAAATTAAAATCAGCAAGATGAGAGTTAATACTAAGTACTGTCTTTTTTTGTTAAACATTCTTATTTCATGAAGAAAATTGTAACAGATTAATCGTAGCCTTCAATGTGGCAAAATTATTTCTTTCATGATTTACATATAAAAGGGAGCCGCGGTCAAATATTTGAAAACATTTCTAAAATACTGTTTACTCAAGTGTTCATACAAACAGTCAATGAGTCAAAGATATTTACAAATTAAAATAAAATGTAAAGCAATTTGATGATGATCTCTTACACTAGATGGCATCAGCACATCATTATTATTGCTTTCACACCTCTTTTGACTTGCTCACTAAGAAGTGGAGCTAACATTGCACAGAATCCTATCATCGACATGTTGTTTCAGATGGAGTCATTTGTTATAATAAGTGGACAAATTACCAATCTAATTGTCCAGTTATCTCAATTTGTACATTTGTGATCAATATTACAAAATATTAGCTGTGTTCCACATGCTCAGTTAAAACAACTTTCACAAGTAGGACTTAGATTAAATATAATTTTCTCTAGTGATTACTTAAAATCAAAATTCTATTTCTGCCTCATACTGGTTAGAACTTAAATAATAATGATAAAAATGTAATGAAATATTGCTTCTCTTATGACACTACAGAGAACATTTTTTCCACATTAACAGATGAATGAAATATGACCTCTCTCATGACAGATAATGACAAGTGGTCAACTGGAAACATCTCGTATATTTGTAAATATACAACCACGTAGTAATATTTTGTCTTTCATTAAGCAGGTAACTGTTACAGAATGCCCAAGAATTGTTTTTGTTCTTGAATTCTAGTACATTATTTACTACAGATCTTACATCATGAGAGGCATTTTAGGAGCTAATTAGTTTGCAATGAGGAGAGACACTAAGAAAATGTAAATATATAAAACAGAAGAGGCAATGAGTAACGAGTAGATGTGTCAGCAGAATAGGGTGTTGGAAATTTAGTAAAAACAAGGAAATGCAAGAGATTTGTCAGTGTTCATGGACTCTTACATCTTCATCCAAAAGTATGTGTGAGATCTTTTCAGTTAGAAAATCCACCACAATCTATTTTGTCAACTTTGAGTATACCAAGGTTATTCTCTCAAAGGGCTCATCCCTTAAGTTTAAGTTACATCAACTACTTTGTGTATTTTGAAAGATTAAATGATTCCATATAATTATCTTGGCTACTTTCCTAATACTAGTTGTTGTTTTTTTAACCATTCTCTCAAAGGGCTCATCCCTTAAGTTTAAGTTACATCAACTAATTTGTGTATTTTGAAAGATTAAATGATTCCATATAATTATCTTGGCTACTTTCCTAATACTAGTTGTTGTTTTTTTAACCTGTTGATTGAATGTAGCTGAACATAAAATAACTGTGACGAGTTTCTAAAATGGTTAAAGACATATCTGAAAAGTAATTCTAGTTATTACAAAGTGTATAAAGATACTTCTCTACAAAACACCACTTAAATATCCACTCACTCATTTCTATATAATATAAACATAAGGTAAGCTAGTTCTTATAAGCATGCATCTATGCAGTTCACCTAGGGCCTCCTAGTAAGCTATCTGCAACCTCATCTTTGTACTGGCCACTCATGGACATTATCAGAACATACATATTTTTACATCTGTTATAAACTGTTTTTTTTAAAAAACCCTCATGTCCTACATAATGAATCTTTGTAGTGTAAATACTATGGCTGTACCCTTTCCATTCATTTGAAAATGAAAAATATTCAGGTGAGAAATAACAAAAGAACATTCAATAGATCCATCAAACTAAAAATTATGTAACCTTGCAGTCTCCCTCTGGTTAAGAAAGCACTTAGCTTATACGGTTTTGTATTTTTATGTACAAAACTGTCTATCCATGAAAATACAGATGAGAAAGCAATTTTCAGCATATTGTCACACTTCATTTTAAAAATGAACACAAAGCACCTCAATACTCATTTCAACATATTTTGACATAAAATGTTTGTCCAGATGGTAATAAATTGAATAATAAAATTATTCACTCATCAGTGCTGGAAAAATAATCGTTTAGTGACAAATGCAGTATAACAGATTATTGTTATGGTGTGAATGCCTTATCTAAGCTGGCGAAGCACAGGCCCATACACGGAATGTTTGATAGGGGGTCCTAATTTATAGATCAAAAGCCAACACATATTGTACGATGCACAATCAGCATGCAAATGCAACAGGGGTCTGACACAACTGCACTAATTCACAAAATAATCATACATCTACAACAAAGCAACAAATGAAACAAACATCAGAAGTTTTCTGAAAAAGATTGATTTTTTAGTCTTTAGTTCCTCTAACTTGACACCGTTAATTTTTATTATGGTCTTCCTTAGAAAACGACAATTATTAAAACTAAGGAAAAACATATGCAATGAGAGCTATGCCATTCATTAATTACTAATAAACTTAATATGTTGGAAAAATGGGATGTTTTTAAATCATTTTTCTCCCAGTTAGTTCAGATTTGGAAATTATTTCATAAAAAAAAATAGAAAATTTCATTATTATTATTGGAAAATAACCTAACACAATCTTTTTTACTGATGTCAGTAGAACTTGTAATTTTGACAAAATGAAAAATATAAACATATGGTATGTTATTTACCAGTGTTCTTTAATAACTGTTATGGTGTGAACACCTTTTACAAGTGGGTGAAGAACGATTTCAATTACATTTATTATAAAATGTTAGAATTAAGCCTAAGAATAGTGTTTAAAAATGTATTAGGCCTAATTCTAATGTTTTATGACAATGTAATTATTCTGTAATAGTTGTACTTATTTGTAATATTCTTTCTTGTAAGAATATTGTTATAAAAACTCAGGTTTTTAACATAAGTTTTAAATTATTCTTAAGAAAATTAATCTAGCAGATAACTCAAACCCAGAAGTACTAACCAGATTTATATGTTCTTAGTATAAAACTTAGTATAACATTCCAGTTTCAGCTATAACATAGCCTTAACTTATAAATTTATGAGGGTTATTTCTAATGAAAAATAATTTATGATTACTGCAAAGCAACAGAGTCAACTTGAGGTAATTATCAATAAAGACAACTATACATATGGTTAAGTTTCGGACTTTTAACTGAACAAGAGCAATTATCTTTCCTGTGTACTGTACCCTTGGTGCAATTATTATAGATTATCTTGATAAAAACAAGGTAGTAACCACATAAATGTCACAGCTTGTATAGGTTAAATTTTGAATTTATAAAATGATGTAACTTTTAAAAAAAAAGTTTCTATTATAAATTGGCATATAGTATTTCCATTTACCCACCAAAACATCTAGTAAAACCTTGATGCAGACATTTATAAAATAAGTCTTACCTTCTGGCAAATCCTGTTTATTGGCAAAAACAAGAATAATAGCATCCCTCATTTCTCTATCATTAATTATTTTATTTAACTCTTGACGTGCCTCGTCTATTCTGTCCCGATCAGCACAGTCCACAACAAAGATAAGGCCCTGAGTTCCAGTATAATAATGCCTCCACAATGGGCGGATTTTGTCCTGACCACCAACATCCTATCAATGTAAAAACATGTAAATTTCATTTCTACCTTATGATTTACAACTGTGTACACTTTCACCTCAAGACCAACATTCTCTTTTAGAAGTGTCATTACAATTCCTACAATAAAGTTTATTTTGCTGTAAATTGCTCTCCAATACCCCCCCAAGGTTTTCATTTGTTTACGACAAGATATCATGTAGAAAAATTTATAGTTTTAGTTATGACAAAGCAAGATCGCTGCCACAAAATAATATCCAACTTGAGTTCACTTTAATGCAAATCAATCATTTAAAGATCCACTATGTGATCCCAAATAGAAATGCTTGACCATTCAGCCTATGGTTATCAATTAATATGTAACAGAGATCACTATACCTTAATAGTTCATAACATTTCAACATAGCATGCAGTCACACAAACAGAAAAGGGAGCCTAAAACCAATGGTACAGCATGTTGGTAAAGTACTGTGGTGTCCTCAACCACTCCTCTACAAGATCTGTTTTCATGATATATTTAGGGTCTGGAATTGCTTGACAGGATATGAAGCATCACCCAAAATTGTCCTGCATATTCTTAATCAAACTGATATTTGGTAAATGAGCATGCCACTCTGCAGAATGTTGAAGTCACTACATCCACCGATGCTGATTGTTCCACACATCTTGTGTTAGCACTAGCATTTGAATCTTTTTTAGTTCTAGGGACCCAACCATTTGGGAAAAATAGAATTACCTTATACTTTTGCACAATGCATAAAACATCAAAATTTTTAATTTTCTCAATTATTATTTATTAACTGCACTAACATTTCTACAATTTAAACATTTCACTGTTCTTTAGATTCTTTAAGCCTTTAGCTCCTCCTCTCTCACATTGTGTGAAAAGTTGCAGCAGTCTCTTCACACTTTTTCTTTTTGTCATATTGGAGTAAAATTCTGTCAATCACTCTTACCAAATATACGTTTTTTCTTTTGAACAGATCCTTCACTTTAGACTAACTAGCTTAAATCTCATAAAATTATACATTTATATATATTTATTATTTTTATTATATTGACCTTTCAGCCATGCCTGGCTAACAATACAGAAGTTACAATGACGCAGCTCACGTGCACTCATGTTACCGTATCAAATAACATAAATCTGACCTTTGGTCTTTACAAAGTAACTTGTCTTGGCTTTGATTTAGTAGAGTAGTATTTTATAAAATACAGTGACATTTCAATTATTATACATTATATATGTATATAGATTATTGCTATTTTGAAATAAATTCTAAAACATTTCTTAAAACATAGAACAGTAAATAAAGAAGTAAAGCAAACAATTATCTCTTCTAGTTATAACCTTTGTACTTGGTTGCTGCTTGACATAGGTTGCTAAGCCTTTAAAAAATTTGCACGTGGAAGACATGAAAAAATATTTTCTTCTAGGTTTTATATATGTATGTTTGAATAACCAAAAAATTATAAATTACTACATTAATACCATAGAATTCCACTATAATTTATCAAGCTTAGTAACCAAGATGTATTTTGGTCTAAAAAAAATATGAAATTTCGAATAGACTAAAGACACACCCCACCTCATTGAAATATTGGTTCAAAACAAAGAAATGGTGCCAAGCCCATTAAAATGCTAAGAAAGCCACTAGGGGGACATTCTGAGCTTCCAATTGGTTATTCATGTCATATATAGAAGTAAGTGTATATAAGGGAGCTTTTCCAAAAACGGAAAGAGGTGGGTGGGGTTCCACTGTGTTTGATTTATTACATGAGCAATATCTTAACAAAGTGAAAAGAAAAGAGGCTCTTATTTTATATTCAAGCTTGTCAACATCAATAATTTGAGTTTCTAATTTGTACAAAACTATAGACTTAGTATTTTGACTTCACAAACATCCAATTTGAACCAGTGCTACATTCAACACACCACATGACACACAAAAATCGATGTTTATCTGTGTTTTTAATATTTGCTTTTGAATTAAGAAATTGAGTAATATATAGTACTAAAATTTGAATTATAATTTACAGTTTGATAAAAAATTTATTGACATAAATTCATGAAACAGTAGTTCAATAAAATTTTGAATATGAGTCAACAAACAAGATGACATGGCTTTTCACCCCCGTGACCCATTTTGAAAGGGTTAAACTAGCAAATGTTTAAATATGTTCATTAAAGAGTAAAAAAGATAAACAACTTACCCATACATTAAATTTGACATTTTTGTATTTAACTGTTTCAACATTAAATCCTACTGTTGGTATAGTCGTCACTGACTGTCCTAGTTTTAATTTGTATAAAATTGCTGTGTGTTGGTTAAGAAATCTAACCACCATTTCAATAAAGCTTGAAAAAAATATTCTAACATAATTTAACATCACATCTAAAAAATCATTGCAATTAACAAGAAAATTTTTTTTTGTATGTTAGGGATTTCAATTACATTTAGGAATGCTATAGTCTATACAACCTTCAAATTATGGGTCAGCATTAATGATTAATAATGATAATAATGGTGTTCTAATCTGTAGTACCCTTTATTTCATTAACAAAAACTCTGCAGAAATTGCAAAAAAAATTCATCATTTTAAATACATGTAGTAGATATATCAGAAGACTTGCAAAATTACACAAACAAGTGTAATCATCCCAAAACATGGATAAAATATGTTTTACTGGTTCAAAAATGACAATCTCTTTTTAATATAAAAAAAAGTATAATGAAACGTAGTTTTGCAAACACAAGTATTTGGCACCTTGAATGCTGATTAAAAATGACAGGAAATTTACATATTACACTATACAAGTTAAACATACCAATTTGTTAAACCCATACAAAAGGATACTTGTTTTTCCAGCAGCATCCAATCCAAGCATAAGAATTCGCATTTCTTTGTTGCCAAAAATCTTGGACAATAGTTTGCCCATCTTGGATCACAGGCAACAGTCAACAAATAACCTAAAATATTTAAGAAAAACAATTAGATGCCAAAGTAACCTTTATGGCCATTCAGATAAAGATTTTTTTTATGAGGAAAAACTGGAAGGGGATATAATTTTTATTTAATGACAGTGAATCAACAAATGTGAAATCACAAATGCACAGAATAGCTAGATAAACCATGGTAAGTTTAGGATGTTTAATGGTTGAGTTTAATGGAAAGCAAAATGGACTTATAATGTTGTAACAATATTTCTTCTACTGTTCAATAACCCACTGCTTATATTATTGGACAATGAAGTGGCCTCACAGAGTGTACCAGTACATATAATAATTTGAACTAAAAAGAAAGTAATAGCAAAACATTTGAACAGATAAACAATTTTTGCTTTCAAAGGGTTATTGGAAAATAATTGTGTCAGAAATACAACAGACAGGCCACCCAGCAATGACTGCTTCTGCCAGCTATTAAAATAAAGGCTGGAAGTTGAGCAAAATACAGGCTATTTTTAGCTAATTTTTTTTTTTGTGAGGGTGCTATGTTATAGTCAATTAAGTCCTATAGAAACAAATATAAGTATATATTTGACACAGTGGTTTTCCACCATCTACCTAACAACCAAGGATAATCTATCTTACTCTGGAACTGAGAATTTTCATGGGTTGCTGGCCAATGAGAGTCTGGTTTGGGGCACACACACAACAGCTACAATTAAAAACTGAATTTTACATTTTACATGAACAGCAACAAATTCTATTCTGTAAATAAACTTTTTTACAGGTTGTTATGCATTATTACAGGAACTTTGACAATTATATAAGTTTTAAAAGTCAAGGCTCTGAAAAACAGGTTTTACAGGCTCGCTGGGAGGCCTGAACACATCAAACATAAAACTACAGATGATTCAATTCAGGAGTTCAAAATTGTCAGGGGTTTGAACAATCTTCTTCTAACATAACATACAAATAACAATGGACCTTTTAGTCTTTCAAGGCTATCCTTGCACACTCAGTCCTAACAGCAAAAATTTCACCTTCAAGTTTGTTTTTTTTTTTTTTTACTAAATCTATTCATTCCCCTCTCATGCTCTGTAAAATATTAGCATCCTCTACAGTCTTGATTGACTCCAAATCATAAACTTGTTTATGCATTCACTCTTCCTATTTTCTTCAGAATATATCGGAGACTTTTATCTCACTGTTCTCCTGGATAATCTTGCAAACTTCAATAACATAATTTTTAACCCTTCTTTCATCAATGGAAATATGAGATCTTAATGTGTCCCTGTCCCTCTAAACTAATACTTCCAACTCAGGACTTATCCTAGTAGCTCTTCTCAGAACCTTTTCCAAATTGTAGTTGGGGTAATACTTTCAGGAAGTTAGAAACAGTATTAACAGGGCTAAAAGTAGAGGATTTAATTGCAATGAGTAGGTTTTATTAAAAAAGAGATTTCAGCCTTTAGATTGTGCAGATGAGGTACTATGGAAAGGAAGGAAAACAAAAGGTCCAGAATGGGAATAAAAAACATAAGGAGTTTATAGTTATAGGTGATTATTTAGTATGCCACATTAATGGGATAATCTGTGGGGTAAATATAAGTTGACACATTTCAGCTTTAAAAATGAATCATTAATTACCATCTTTAAAATAACGATGTTTTTAATTGTCAGTAAGTCTGTTAGTCACCTATCAAATCCAAAACAATCCAACTGAAAACTCAGACAACTAATATTTACATATACTATACATCAATAATAAATCAAATAATAACAGTTCTAGTATGCTGTTTTGTAAGTTGCAGCTTAAAACAATTCATTAACACTAAAATGTCAGCCTGTATTAAAACTGAACAATTTTCCTACCAAGTATTTTATTTAGGCCTATCTGTAATTTTATATCGAACAATACTTTCATCATAAAAATCACCATCAGTGTCTCTTACATTTCCATTGATCATCTAGTTTGCTACCGGCCATATAGACCAAAGCACAAAAATAGTACATCTGATGGGTCCCTCTTATTGAATAATACTGTCATCAGGTTAATGATAACCAATTAGCTGAATGAGATTTAGTATTTTTTAAGTTACACTTTTTACTAACACATAATAAATAAAGTTACAAATTAGTTTCACAAGGTAAAGTATTCAATTACAAAGATTCACATGTACATTTTCCATCATACTGAGATTTAAATGAAATAAATTTTCTTTCCCCATGAACACAAGTGGAAAATACTTCACAAAATCCTATTCTTTCTGTGCTTTGGCCTTCGTACCAATTTTAATGCAGTCTAACAACTGCTTCGAGGTTTTACATTTATCACAGGGGTGTCCACCTTTTTCAAGGTTGATAACTTTGCTTTCAATATTAAGCCTATTCTTCCTGCTGCACACTACTGTTGGAATGACAGCCCACTCACACCCAATAGGATTGTGTAATCAAACTATGGAAAAGTTCATTATATTTATTATAATTTCCACATCATGACTGGATTAATTATAGTATAAAACTGTCTTCTAGATGAAGCTGCATCACAATGTAAAGAAGTAAACTATACTGGAATGCCAAGTAATAAATGAGAAAATCTGACAATATGGCATAATAATCAAGGTACACTATGTAAGGACATATCAATCCAAAAATAACAAGGAAGTCGGACACTAAAAATAAAGTCATTAGATTCTTGAAGCATCTAAATGTCTCTATAACAAAATTAAAACCAATGTATAATGGTTCAACACACATGGCAAATGTAAATGTTAGCCCCCAAAATTAAAGCCCTAGAACTGCTTTTACACTTTTTTTCAATTACCTGCAAGATAAATTAATATAAAAGGAAAAGATTTAAGAGCTTGAATTTTAGTCTGATTTAATAGGTAATATAAATTATAAATATATGAGACACTGAGTATGATTATAACCAAGGAAACACTAGGCTAATTAACTAACTTTAAAGTTTAATTTAAGTTTAAAAGTTATGAAAGTATATGATTTATTTTTTTCTCTCTCAAAGACGTGGTTTAATTTTTTTTTAACTTAATAAACTAGCAGTACACTGTACAAATTATCTTAACATTAGTACTAACAGTAACAGTTGTATATTTATAAATAAGCATACTGGCTATATTGTCGTAACACTAACAATGTAGCATTGTCAGCGTAACTAAATAAAATTCAAATAGGCCTAACATGATAACAACGAGGCTAAGTAAAACTAAAAAGTAACAGTATAAGTCCTAAAGACGTGATATCATTTCATCTTCAGTTTTTTAACTTGAAGTTGCACACGAAATGTATTATTCATACTCACAATCACACAAGTTTTGACTTTGATCCACTTTCAACTTAATATAAATTACAAGAGCTTTCTCTTTTTTTTTTATCAAGGAATTTGCGATTATAAAAATATATGAAAATGGTAAGTGGTAGTTCTATCCTATGAATGAAAATTCAATTGCACCTCTCTTCTCATTTTGTACTTAACTTAAATTACTTTCATTGTTAGCCCATCTTGAAACACAATCACCTCACATTACTACAGTGGAACCCTCCACGCAACACATTTGGTTAAACGGAACGGTGAGCACCCTGATTACAATTTATCCCGGAAGTAAACTTTCCGTTAGGAAACATTCGTAATATTGTTATGTGTCACCACTGATTTATGCATAGCGTATATTTGTGTGTAACACCAATTGTTTATTTTTTTTACCCTGAAAAATAATATATCTATATGTGCACTTGAGATTAAATTATTTGTATATAAACATCACTTAACAAGAAATTTTAAAGTTGAGCAAAATACTGTGCAGAGACTGTATAAATATTAACACGAAAACACATATTCAAAATGGGTAATTGAAAATCAATTTATTAATATCATATCACACAACATTTCTTCTCTAGGAGAAACGTTAGATATGAAGGTATTATGCTCTGAGAAGAAACGTTGGGTGAAACGTTATTAATAAATTAATTTTTAGTTACTTATTTGAAGCTGTTTTATGTGTTATTTACAAAGTTCGAATATTTCTCATGTCACTTAATAGGTGAAAATACCTGACTCAGTTATTCCAGTTACTGCCTGTTATCTAGCTATTTTTTTTACCTCTTCGCGTGACTCATGATAAAAGAACTTCTTGTTAAAATTTTGAAGATAAACGATATGAATTTTTTCAAACACAAAGGGCATTTGTAATTTTTCGTGTCACAGTTTGTCCTTTTGTACAGTTTGTACTCCAATTGAAAGCTCAGTTTGTTTGTTATGGAGTTCGTGCTAGCCGTCCCTAATTTTGTAATGTAAGACTAGAGGGAAGGCAGCTAGTCATCACCACCCACCGCCAACTCTT